TTAGTATCATAAGAGAGTATTTAGCTAGTTCTCTAGTCGAAATATAGGTTAAAGCGTTATAACTATAGGTACCTAAGTATAAGATCATAGCTCTAGTTTAGTATAATATCGAATAAGATTCTTTAGTTCTTTCCTTTAATAAAAACCTTAAGGTAATTAATCTCGTAGTTAATAACTTTATTATTGTAATCGAAAGGTATTCCTTTGAGGTTATATACCGTATAGGGCTTACGTTTATGCCTCTATAGTAGCTTAAGCTTATTCGCCGCCGCTAGGTTAAAGTAGTTTTACTTAGCTCTATTATTTACTAAAGCGTTTAATTATTATCCTTTGACTTATATTTTTAATTCTAGGTATCGTCGCCTATATCTTCTATCTATAGAGTAAAGGGCCTTCCGAGGTAGTCTATTCCCCTATTTATCTATCCGTTGCCTTATATCGGATAGGGTATTTAGTTTTTTGATTTATTGAGGGTATAGCTAAGGTGGTTATATTTATACTCGCTATTAGCGTATGCCTTATAGTCGTGGTCGTCTTGTTTGTATAGCTATTCCTGGTAGGCTTATTCTGCGATCTAGCCGTCGTCGGGGTAGTCGCTATAATTCCTTTCTTTTATGGGGTAGATCTTATCGAGGTCGCCGTTTCTGATGTAGTCGGTATAGTCTTATAGGATCTGGTCTGTTGGTCCTTGATTTTCTCTGAGGTGTGGTTAGATGTTTTAATATTATTCCTTATCTTTTTGTTTTCTTATGCGTGTGAGGAAATTAAATCCTTCTTTTACTATTTATTTAAATCTATTGTGTGTAGCTAGGATATATTTCCCGTGTCTTAGGTATATGTCTTTATTATAAAGTATTGCCTCTATACTAGGGTAGTTTCCCTCGGGGGTCTATCTTTCTTCCATTATAGTCTTCTATATAGTAATAGTGAATTATCATTTAAGGGTAATAGATCTATCTTTTCTTAGGATAAAGTAGATATTAGTTATATTAATCCCTTTATTCTATCTATAGATCTTATATTAGTGGGTTTTATAAGTAAGGTAGGGTTTATCATTAGGTCTTTATAGCTATATGGGAAAATAGTTATTCTCTTGCTTACTTTAGATATATGTACTATAGTAGTAGTCTTTATAAGAGATCTATAAGATTTCTTTATATCGGGGGTATATCAACCGGGTATATTTATCATCTTTTATATTATAGCGTAGTCCCTATTATGAGTTTATAGCTATCTCTTTATGATATACTCGGATAGGGATATCTTTTATATCTAAGTTGCTTTTTTCCTCTTATTTTATTAATCCAGGGGTTCTTAGTTCCCTTTAAATAGTTCTAAGGATTTATTCTTACTATTTCTTAATTTTATAGTCGTTTTATTCGTGCTTGCGTATTGCCTCATATAGGTCTTTATTATATTATGCTCTTATAATACCAATAGAGTTATATTAGTGGGAAATTTAGTATCCCTTTATTTCGTACTATAGGTATGGTTTATCGTTAGGCTAGTATAGTAAGGGAATTAGAAAATAGTCTTATTTTTATTTTTCTTTCTTATATTCTTTATATTAGTAGTATTAATATAATATCTATAAAATACTAGGGTATTCTTTATATATTAGGTAGGTTTATATATTATCTTACGCGTTAAATAATACTTCTAGGTATCGTAGGTCTTTAATTATCGTTTAATAATATACGCGGATATATATATCTTATATATCGGTAGTGTTTATATGTTCCCTTGCGGTCTAGATATATCATTCTCATAGCGAATTTTAGTATTAATTACTATATTTATTATAAAGTTAAGGGTAGTATTCCTCTTTCTATAGGATATTATCTATCCTAGGGTTCTATTAATTCTAAATCTAGGCTATTACTAGTTATCGCTAGGCTTTAGCTCCGGCGCCGTAGTTAGGATCTTAGTAGTATCGCTTAATTTGCCTTATTACTATAATAGTCTTAGTATTAGGGTCTTTATTAGGTTTACTAGTTAGTTCGGGTAGTAGTTCTTATTCTAACCTATCCGTGAGATAGAATTATCTCGCCTTTAGGGGTTTCATCGTAGTATATCATAGCTTTAGCTAAGGGTAGTTATTATATCTAAATTATTCCTTAGTGAGGTATACTTAGCCATGGGGTATAATAATTTCTCCTAGTTCTAGACCGGTATTATTATACTTAGTCTAGGCTATGCTAAGTATTTTAGTCGTTCGGAGAGCTATCTATAGTTTATTATTAGCTTATATAAATCTTACCTACTTTTTACCTTCGGGGAGTCGCTATTGCTATAGCTAATAGTAGCCTTCCTTGATATTATATTACTTCTTATAGTAGATTTTCTCGATATAGTTTATCTTATAGTAATATCGGTATTTAAGTCTATGGTAGTCGCGTTTCTTCTATTAAGTTACCCCGAGTTTTATAGGTCTTACATAGGTTCTATAGGATATATCGTTTTATTAGTATTGCCCTTAGTTAGCGTTAAACCGAGGTTTCTAATAGTTTTTTTTATCGTTGCGGGGGTTCTAGAGTTTCTTCTAAGAGAATTATTAGTTATTAATCTTAACTATTTGGCTGATATAATTAATAAGGTTATTAGGCCGGTCTTCTTTATAGAGTTTAGCCTATACCTCTTTCTTAAGTCTATTAAAGAAAAAGGATATTAGTAGTTCTTAGTCCTAGTTAAGCTTTAAGGCAAGCTAGAGGTACTTAGTGCTATATTTTAATATAGAGCGAGTTTATCGGAGTGCCTTAATTTCTTTTTTCGCCTAGGCCTTTTTATCTATTATTCTAAAAGCTTATTAGAGCGCGGCTTTAAAGGCTTTAAAGCTAGAGTAGAGGTTTATAGTCTATGGCGAGTATTTATTAAGTAATTTAATGAGGTATTTTTTTATAATAGGTTTAAACTAGGCCATAGCGTGCTTAGTGAGATGCCCTGCGGTATACTAAACCTTACTGGATGCCGTGGTAAACTATATAGGGTAATAGAGTATAAACGCGTATAGTTACGTGAGGAATATTAGTAACTTATATATAGTACCGTTAAACTTCTCTAGTTATTCTAGCTTTAGGATTTCTCTAATATCTTTGCCTTTTATAACAGTAATTACTATATTATTAATATTCTAGACGTTCTCGTAGTATTACTAGTTTTAGGCTTACTAAGTAGCGACTATGTGATTAATAAGTCCTCTGAGTTCTTTTATTTTAGTGGTTATAGTAGTGACCTAGGCATAGAGTTGCTTGACTTCTTCGTCGTTGCTATTTATTTCTTTATTGCTATTAGGGTTAGCTTGAGCTAGTGCGATAGGGGTAGGTGGGTGGTTGGTAGGTGGGACCTACTAGTAGTTATTACTAGGAGTAACCTGAGTAGCTATTGCGTTTAATATTGTTTAAGGTAATGCGAGTAATCTAATGAATAAGAGCTATTAATATGTAATGAGAGGATATTTCCTAAGGGATAAACCGGTCGTATTGGTTTATATTGGTATTAGATTATATTATGTAGCCTTAAAGGTTAGTGTGATATTATATCTGGTAATATGCTTAAAGGTATTGAGTGTAACTAAGTTATATTAATAGCTGAGGTAGCTATTATATAGGAAAGTGTATATAGGTGCGTATTATATACTAAGCTAGCTATAAAGGGATTATGGTTATCTTGGGATCGTTGTGATCCTTGGATCACGGTGATCTTAAGATCGTAGTGATCTAACTTTAGTAGTAATCCTTCTCTAATTAGTGCTAATGCCCGGGTGTGGGGCGGTTACGTGTGTTATAGAGGTTAGGTGCATATCAGGTCGTGACACCTTCTAGGCTCTCGTAACCACTTATCATAGCTAAATCATTCCTCTAGGGATAACCTGGTCTTCTATGCCTTAGCTAAAGCTTTCTAAGACTTAATATTAAAGTAATAAAACTATTCGAATGTAATAGCTTAATTGCTAAAATTGGTCTTTGACTTAGCAAAGCGTATACCGGGCATATAGTCGATCTCTGACTATAATTCTATAGGAAATGCCTTAAAAATGAGCTATGGTGGAATAGCGTCGCTAATAGTATTCCTTAATCCTAGAAGTGATATTATTTCGCGGTTATTAAGGTCGGAAACTTCTAGCCGTTAGGTACGAGTTATTCTTATAATTAGGACTTAAATTCGCTCGCAGAGGTAGCTAATATGGATACTATATTCGTCCTTATTCTATATCTCTAAAGGACCGATATTTAGCTCTTCTATAGTGGATTTAAGCTTATTAAAGAAAGTCTCGGTATTCTAGATATTATTATTCTTATATGACTTCCGTGCCTTATCTATGGCCTTAATATATGATGTTTTAAGTTCTTAATGACGCCTATAGAACTAGGAATATTAATTTTTATTAAAGGGATTATTAGGGAAGCCTCTGCTAAGTCGGAATTCCCTCGTAGCCTCCTTAACTTAAGCCCTTTTAGCTAGAAAGCCGGATTTCTTAAGCTAAATAATATATGCCACTAGGGTAGCCTCTTCCTTACGCGTGATAAGCGGTGGGCGGCCTATTTTGATAGCTAGCTTTGGTCTTATCGCTTTTTTAATCGCTGCCTTATTAACCCCGAGCTTCTTAGCTGTATCACGATAGGAGCCGGGTTGCTGTCTGCCGTTATTGGTGGTATTGCGGGTGGCACGTATGAAGCGCCTCTCGTTATTTTTGGCCGTATTGACGGCATTTTGGATCCGTAGATTAGCCGAGACTCGAGCCATAATGATCTTATATGTCTAAGTACTTAGATTGAACTGAAATGGCTGTTTTTTGGTGGGTTTTGAGGGTGTTTGAGTTTATGTGCGGTATTTTGAGGTGTCTGCGACTTTTGTGGCTGTCCGCGACTTTTGTGCCCAACTGAGGGGCGCGGAGCCTGCCCCGAAAGTTGGCTGGTGGGGCCTTCGCCAACGGGTATCGCAATGCTGAATGGGCCGACAAAGTGCATTCCCCCGGAATCACCATCTTTCTCCTTGTTTAGGCCTTCTTCCTTCTCACTAGCTCATTCGGCCATATGGTCGTCGCTGGACTGCCCAACGCCGATATTGCCGGTGCTGTTGTGAATCTTCTTTTCGTCATGATGTTTGCGTTTAATGGGTAAGTGCATAGTAACTCATCCTCACACACGAAGCTAACAAGGTGCAGTGTCCTTGCTGGACCAAAGCAACTCCCCGGCTTTTGGGTCTTCATGTATCCCGTCAACCCTTTCACGTACATCGTTGAAGGCTTCCTTGGGATGACCCTTGCCAGCGCCCCTGTTACTTGTGCCGACAATGAGATCCTCACTTTCCATGCCCCTAAGGGAAGCACTTGTGCCGAGGATATGTCCGACTATATCAACATGGCTGGTGGACAACTGGTCAATTCTAGTCAATACGATTCCGAATGTTCTTACTGCCCCATCGCCGACACAAATGCGTTCCTGGCCAGCATTAGCGTTGACAGGGCCCATAGGTGGAGGAACTCTGGCCTGTGGTGGGTGTACATTGTTTTCAACATCGTTGCTACCACAATTTTCTACTGGTTGGCTCATGTGCCTAAGAACTGCAAGATTAACAAGGAGTAGCTGGTAACCTAAGGTCTTGTCTTCTGTTCCTTTTGCCGTTTCATTTTACCTCTCCTAGTCATCTATCACAGCCATTGTCTTTCATTGATGGAACCATGACAAGACATACCTGGAGAAGGCCACATCCGCATCTTTAATATTTTGTCTTACATTCTTTGCTTTAGATATTTTCTCCATGCCTGATTGTCTAGACTAGTTTCCATTCTCTATAGAGTTACATTCTTGCGTACCTATATGCCTAAACACTTTCATTCTCGACTGCATTTGTATTCTTGGATAGATAATGGCTGTTCTTCAAGCTTGCATTCATGTTTAAGCTGGGTATACTCATGTCTTATCAAGCCATCTTTTTAAAGCTGTGCTTCTCAGCAAAAGCCCGAGAAGATGTTTCTGTGTAATAGATGACGCGCCCCTCAAAAAGCCTCCTAGCCGTCCGAGACACGGCACAACTAGCAATCTCCTCTTCACCTCTCCTGACTACTCTAACTGGGATAGTTCCCTTACTATGCTCAATTAAGACGGTTCTCACCTCATCATCCATCTCCCGGTCTCCTTTGATATTAGGTGGCGGTGTACGTTTCGGCGTAGGTGGCAAGGACTCGTCAATATCTACTAGAGCTGCCAGGTCTGCTGCAATGGTTCCTTTGACACTCACTGCAGCCCCCAAGCACACTGCACCCGTGAGTTGGAGGCTTGGGTGAGGGAGTCCCATGGAGTAAGACTGGACCCGAATGCCGGGCTTCTCGATGTCTTTGGCCGTGCGGCGCACAGGAGATCGAAGGAGCGCAATCTTGGGTGTGCCACGAGTTTGCGCTGCAATCTCGATGCTAGAGGCTAGGCCCATGGCCACAGCACCTTTAAGCCGAATTGACTCAACCAGCTGGTGTTGTGTTTCAGGAGAAGGGAGCGTCTTGAGAATGCCTGAGATGGAAGACGAGTCCACCAACACAAAGGGATTTGCCGCGTCTATGAGGGTCACTCGGACTCGAAACAGTTCGAGCTGGGGTACCAATGGACAAGACAAGATGTTGAGCCACTGTTGTTTTTGACCAGATGGAAACAGGCTCCCCGTCATGCTGCCGGCAGGATCGACAAAAGAGCACTTGACTTCGCTGCCGAACGACTTCACACCCGGGATCGTGTAGTTCCCATCTTCTTTGTATTGACCCGTCTCGTCAATCTCGATAGTCTCCACGATAATACGATTTGTGTTGGTGTTGAATATCCTGACATCGATCTAACGCGTCGTCAGGTAAAGATCATGGATTGAAACAAACGGGTTACATACCTCTGCCTGCCCTGGCTGCGGGACCACTAAACCTTCCTGGACCGCAAATGGGCCAACTCCAGAGCTCATATTGCCGCAGTTGCCGGAAAAATCGACAGATTCTCTTCCAACTGCGACCTGGACAAAGGTAAAGTCGACATCGGCGTCTGGCCGTAACGACGGGGACACGACGGCTACTTTGGACGTCGTGGATGTACCACCGCCGACACCATCAACCTGACGAGGGTCATTGTTGCGAGAGCCCAGAGCTGAGATCAGATGGGACGGCCATCCGACCTCTTTTTCGGGTAAGTGGCTCCGATGAAGGAAAAGGCCCTTTGAGGTCCCAGCACGCATCAGGACACATGGGAGACTGTGCCTGATGAGGTGCGACCCCTGTGAATGTTTTTCTTGGAGAGCCATATTGAATGCATCACATAAAGTCTCCACAAAGCATGCGTTCTGAAAGGTAGGTTGGTGAACAAGGGTAGAAAGAGCGTACAATTGTCGTTATCCCGTTAAGTACCATGGGAACATGTCGTGCGCCATATATAAGCCCATTCCCGGACATTCTAACCACCCCAATAGCGGCTACCGAAGAGACCCAACCCGGGATATGATGGAGAACATCTTCCTTCATTCTCCATAGAATCGAGGATGGTTAATTCAGGGGTGTAATCGCCAAGGAACTTGATCCATAACAACGGGAAGGCTAGAGGGGACGGGAACAACGGGAAGAGGCCGACCAGGGGTGACGGGAACACGGAAACAAGACGGGAATAGAGCGGGAGGAGAAAGGCGACGGACGGGAACGGGCCTCCTTCATCTGCCATTATACGGAAACTCCGCTGTAGATGACCCATTAAACCCAAAGAGCGGGTCTTCGAGAAATGCTATATCGTAGTTGGACGGCCAAATGGCGTGCTGCCATTGAGAACCTGTCCCAAGTCCTATCCCAGCCGCTCCCACGGCGAGATGATTCAATGTCGTGTTTCCGTCGGCCGTGGGAAGATTTGCCGGGCCCGACGCAAGCGCCGGATGTAGCCTCGGAGGTTGATTGAAGGTAGTCGTGAGGGGGTCAGGCAAGTTCAGGTCATTTTCCCGCAGAAAACTTTGGATGATGCCGTCGATGTCGATCCAGTCAGACCCTGGCGGCGAAGTACTCACACCAGCTGGCTTGGCTGGTGCTGTGCCTTGAGCCCGGGACAGGTAATCATTCTGCTGTACGTTGGTATTGCTGTGTGAGACTTCGTAATTGGGTTGCGCCTGGACTCGCTGCTGCGGTTCTCGTTGCCGTGCACTTGGCTCAACCTCAAGTGCATCCTGTGGTAACTCGTCCACCACAACTCCATACTTCTTCATCAGCCTATGTATAATCACGGCAGCCTTTTGCACAGCAGAGTTGGTTTCCTGGTTCTCCTTGAAGACAGCCAGACACGTCATCAGGTTGGCATAAGCCGTAGAGCCTGTCCCATTCTTTGCGGCGATGCGGCAGTGGATGGTGGCGGCCACGTATGTCGCATACGAGATCAGATACGGAGCACGACGCACTGAAAAGGCGCGATGGTATGCGCGGAGGAGACTGCAGATGCTAGAGGCCGCCGACGCACACTTCATGAGGGAGTCGACGGAGATGGAGCGGAATGTGTTGTACAGGTGGCCATCAGCCACAAAAGGGCGATGAAGCAGAATTACAAGGACGTTGTACATAGCACTATTAAGTGTTGTTAGGTTAGCATAATGATTGCGTTGACGTTCGGGAAGCTTACTGTAGACTCAAGACATGAGGCGGGGGCACCACTACGCTCACCGTATCAGCTTGAAGATGGTCGGGCAATGAAGTTTTCCATTCGTTCAGCTTGAGCTGAAGTTTCTCCAGCATGTTTGACAGCTCGGCCGGGCTCTGGGCAGTGGTTCTTTCCGTGTAAATGCAGCTCAGAATATCGCTCATGGCAATAGACAGTTTACAGAGGGATGTAAACGTCGAGACACTGTAGGCCGGCGAGCCGGGATAGTCGCCTGTCGTCGGAGTAGAGTATGCGAATGGCCGCCAGAACTCAAGTTCTTCGTAGGTGTCAAGGAACTTGATGGGGACCATGGCATCGGCCTCTTTCAAGGTCACAGGCCTGCCCTGGTAAAGGCTTTGGATCTTGTCCACGACTATGCTTGTGTTAGGATAATATTCAAGAATGAAGAAACATTGGCAGACCAAAGGCACCCCAGAAAACTCTTCGCCGAATCTCGAGATCCTCGTCAGAAAAAGGATGCGAGTTTGTCAAATCCACGTGCAAGCCGAGATCAATGAGCATGCGAAACGCCAACCCAGCATATAACCACGCCGCGCTCCTCTCATCACCCAGCGCAAATAAGGAGTTTGTCATGACCAGGAGGGCCTGGATAGTGGTAATGTGGCTCCGATCCAGAGAGCCCCCGAGCAACTCTCTTACCCTCTCGCGGTATTTCCAGCCTGCGGTACGGACGTCATTGGAGTCTTTCCGAACTTGGAGTCTGGGACTGAACTTGGAGGATCCGAAATAGATGGCGTTCAGAAGAAGTTTGGAAAAGTATGGACCGTCGCATGCCATGTCTCTCATGAAGGCAGGTCGGTAGGTGATGAGAAACGAGTGGTGTTGCCGATTCCAGTGCAGTGATAGCAGATGCATACCTAGGTCGGGATCAACACCGTCGAAGTCGAGCTTGCCCTGGCCGAGGTTGATCTCTTCTAGTTGGCCTGGAATTAAGATAAGCTTGAGATGCTGTTGCCACACCGCCATAACTCACGTTGTGTAGCAGCTTCGGCGATTAAACCACGCTCTACCCATTGATCAGGCATCCGTGGGTAAACATCTTGCCCAGCAGTACGCTCTTGAACATTATCCTCGAATAGAGCACTTGTACGACCGTGGTAGCTCGACTCGCCGTTTGCTAGCACAAGCACACGCGCGACGCCCGCGTCCATGGAGCGACTGGTAGAAGCTGTGGTATCCCATGGCCGACCGTCATTCACGCCTTCATCACCACTTCCCTGTTGATTACATTCAGTCGCTCTGTCAGGGGGCTCGGAACCATCTCCATTGCCGCCCGATGACGTGACTGGACTCGGTGGTCGGACCCGGTCAGTCGAGTTGGTGCGATGCCGGTTGCTGCGACGTTTCATGCGCTGATGTCGCTCCCGACCGGCTTCCTTGGCAACGTCGGGAACGGGCTCGTAGACACATTCCTTGTCATATGTTTGGCAATTGGCGCATGAGGGACGTTGGCCGTTGCACTTGATCTGCCAACAGACATCAGTAACGCCGCGGGAAGTTAGTTCCAGGTTCATATGAGGTCACCTTTCTCTTACGGCAGAATGTGCACGCCTCAACTGCCCGTCGGCGGGAACGGGAAGATGCCTGCGGGGCGAAAGAATTGTTGTCAGGCATTCCCAGGTGCTGATCTCAAGAAAACGTTAAGATAGAAGGGAAGAGTACTGGTACGAGCGGGCGGGAAGAGACGGGAGGTGTTGGGTCCCCATTATCCTTGGATCCTTCAATCCGTCATCCCCGGCGCTATATCCGCAATTGGTAAGGTTAGCCCTGAACCCCGATCGGTACCTTTTCGGTCTTCCCGTCTTCCCGTACAGTCATCCCGGCTCAATACATGCGCATACCCTAAAGGCTGAATGGAAATATGATATTCGACTTAGTTTCAGCTAGATACTATTAGATGACCCTAATAAAATTATTTCCTTACAATCTTCGATCCACTGCTCTTTACTTACCAATCTTCCCATCGGCTCCCGACAACAACATCATGGCTACAGTCGCAAAACTGGACGTGCGCTCAAGACCAGTAGTTGAAAAACAGCCGCCGCCATCAGCGAGATGTCAAAAACAAATGGTCACGCCTGGAGTTTCGCTGGCTGCAGGAGCTGTTTCAGGAGGCATAGAAGCCACTATCACAGTGAGTAAAAACCTACTTGCTGTGTCAACTACTTACAGGGACTATTTCTCCAGTATCCCTTTGAATTCGCCAAGACGTTGGCACAGCTCAGTGCCAGGCAAGCTGTCAGCGGCACGACCAGCATCTCTCGCTCTCCATTTGCCGAGATTTCCCAAGCTGTTCGCCATGGTGGTTTCGGGGCAATCTACACCGGCTGTTCGTCATTGATTGTCGTAAGTCACACCCACACTCTCTCCTCACTCCCAATTGTTACAGCCATCAGTTAGTCATCTCACCTTTCTCAGGGCACCGCATGCAAAGCCGGTGTACGCTTTCTTTCCTTTGACACTATAAAGAACCAACTCGTCGACTCCAACGGCAAGCTCTCGCCCGGGTACGCTATCCTCGCCGGTATGATTGCGGGAGCTGTTGAGAGTGTCACTGTCGTAACGCCAACCGAGCGCATCAAGACCGCTCTGTAAGTCACTAGTCTATGGTTTCTTTGGGATTCACTAACGGAGTCTTTGCAGGATTGACGACGCGAGATCTCCCAACCGACGGCTCAACAACGGTTTCCATGCTTTACGCGTCATTGTCGCTGAACGAGGTATCCGTGAACTCTATCGCGGTCTCTTATCTACCACGGTCAAGCAATCAGCCACCTCAGGCGTACGCATGGGATCTTATAATATCATCAAGCAACTTGTGCCGTCAGATAAAAAAGGACCTGTAGTTACTTTTGGGATCGGTGCTACGGCCGGGGTCATTACAGTCTACGCGACTCAGCCGTTTGACACGATCAAAACAAGAACTCAGGGTACTAAAGGTGCTACAACAGTAGAAGCATTCCGGCAGGTTCTTCGCGATGGCGGCATCAGGGGGTTCTGGAGCGGTAGTTCCATGAGACTGGGGAGATTGATTCTCAGTGGCGGCATTGTATTCACGGCATATGAGAACGTGGCGTCATTGCTTATGGGCCTGAAGCGATAACCTCGAGGCCTTCTGTAAAATGGTAGTTATAGTATTATAGACAATATGGAGTGTCTTTACTTATTCCTCAGGTAACTCTTTGAGTCAAGATGAGGAGTGTGCAAAGTCGAGTCCCGCTACCAGTCCCCAGCCACTTGACTCGTGGCCAATGCCGGACACCACACCAGCAGCCTGGTTCTTTAGTCTAACCTTACCCCAGCTACCCTATCAATTGACGTCTTTACCCCTCATTTCCCTGGATGCGATCCAGATCCCTGCTGCGCCCACATTCCCGGTGTCCAATCTGATTCCGGGGGCAGGTCACAAGTACTGGACGAGGAGAAACGCCGTATTTCCCCTCCTTTTCTAGGCTTCAACTTGTAGCGGATACCCCCGACTTCTCCCATCCCTCCTAACCGATGAGCGGGACCGGCTTCGGCGACGTGCTTGGCCATGGTCGGGAGCCCTCGTTCCCGCGGGAGCGAGACTTGGCTGCCATCCCAGCCACTCCGCAAAGATCGTCTGACCAGCTAAACCCAGGTTTCCGGGGTCTCCGCATCTTGGCCACGAGCTAGGCCGCAGGCTGGTGCTGTTTAGAGCTCGCACCATTGGCGAAGAGAGGATAATGTCGGGAAACATTATCAACCGGCCAAGACTTGCCAGGATGGATCTCTAGTATATAAACTCTGACCGGCCCTTCCCGGTCCGAATACTCCACAGGACTTGACAGTCACACTGAGACCTGGTCAGCTACTTCTCAAGCTTCAATCTCGAGACACAAACTCGTCGACCAGCATGTCTGACCGGAATACATCCGACCAACCCAATGGTGGCAGGGCATCAGTCTCCAATACCGACCATCGAGATGATCTTTCCGACGAGAAAGTCCAGGTTGCGCAATGCGTCGAGAACGCTGTCCCTGGCGATGGCCCTATCGCCCCTCTGGACATACAAGCCCGGTTTGAGCTCCTCCGCCACCTCTCGTCCAACGAGATGGAAGTCCTCAACAAACGCGTTCGCAGCAAGATCGACTGGCATATGATGCCTTGCGTCACCCTCATGTTTCTGATGAAGTGAGCATGGCCTCTTGGAATTGAGCCCAAGGGTGTTTACTAACGCGCTTAGTTACCTGGATCGCATCAACGTGTCCAATGCTCGACTTGCAGGCCTTCAGAAGGACCTGAACATGACCGACACGGTTTGGAATGCTGGAATATCAACCTTTTATGTGGGATATCTTGTTGGGCAGTTGCCTGGAAACCTCCTAATGGCTAAGACGAACCCGCGACTGTTCCTCCCGACTATTATGCTCATGTGGAGTGCAGGCACAATTTGTATGCCTGCAATGGCAAAGTACGCGACTTGACTGGCATCTTTCGAATGTTTCAAATGACTGACTGGTAATCAGTGGCGCAGGGTTTTGCGTAGTGCGTTTCTTCATCGGGTTGACTGAGGCACCCTTCTTCCCGGGTCTCACGCTGAGTAAGTTAACCCTCCTAAGTTTCATGGAAAATGGCTGACTTGACAGTGACCTCATCCTGGTATACCAAAGAAGAAAGCCCGCTGCGAATGGCTATCTGGCATGCGGGAAACACAATCTCGAATATCATATCGGGCTTTCTGGCTGCCGGCATTCTCGAGCATATGGACGGTATTGCAGGGTTGCACGCATGGTAGTGGTTCTTCCTAATTGAGGGTATCGTTTCGATCCTGGTCGCCTTGGGTTCGTACATATTTCTACCTTCTTGGCCTCACGACACGCGCTTTTTCACAGATGAGGAGCGGGAAATGGCCCAGTATCGAATCCTCGTCTCCAACGGTGGCATTGATGAGGGTGTTGGCGGGACATGGGACGGCGTCAAGGATGCTGTCAAGGATCCTTTTACCTGGTTCTTTTGCCTCATGCATTTTGCACTCGTCACTGCGCAAAGCTTCAAGGACTTTTTGCCTTCGGTGAGTCGTAGCATATTCTTGCAACACCCAAGGTTTACTGACAGAATTATGTTAGATTATGAATACCTTTGGGTTCAACAAGATGACGACCTACCTCATCCAAGCTCCGCCATACGCCATCGCTTACATCGCAACCTGCGCCATCGCCTGGTCCTGCGGACATTTTATGGAATCTACTTGGCATGTAATTGTTCCCATCATCTTCGCTGCCGGTGGATGCGGTATTCTCATCGGCACCATCAATGTGGCGGCGCGGTACATCGGCATCATTCTCCTCGTAGTTGGTACCTACAACGGTCTCAACTTGCAACTCTCGTGGGAGACGACAGTGGTGCCCGCCCCACGAGCTAAGAAGGCAGCTCTTATTGCAATTGCCAACTGCATCAGTCAAGTCAGCCACTGGTTTAGCCCTTACTTCTATCCAACGAGCCAGGAGCCGTTTTACCGCCTGGCCGGTGGACTATTGCTCCTGGGGTGCGCATTGACTGTTGTGTCGGCGCTGCTGGTGAGGTGGAGGGCAAAGAAGCTGAATAGGAAGCTGGATGAACTTGAGGGTTGGTCGGAAAACTCTGGCGTCGAACGTGGATGGAGGTACAAGTATTGAAAGGCTGCTGACGGTTAATCGAAACACCAATCGCTATATCACTTGGAGATCTGTATTTATGTTGTGGCTTGCCTAGCACAACAATAGCATCAACAGGATGCTAAGGCGAAAACAACGCATGGGCTTACATATGTTGAGATAGTATGTTACGAATTATGAAGCATGGCGCTATTCTACCTTCATATTCCACCTAGAAACGGTGATAAGAGACGCGGGCTTATTGATAAAATAGCTATCATGGTTTAGTTTCGCTGCGAGGAATGCGGCGTATCAAGCAGAACCAGCCCCGCCAGGTGAAATTCCGTTTTAAAAGAATCGGATCAATTGAACGCGTCATTTAACTTAAAGACCATTACTATGGCGAGGACCGGATAGAGAGGGGCTTTGTTCCGGCTCTTTGATTACGTATGGCAAGGTAAGATTTACCTGTTGCGCGCCAAGGGGGCTCGAGAGCAAGACAGGGATGCCTTAGCCTCCTTTATTATGGCACTACCGGGGTACGAAAGGAGAGAACATCCCGACCCGGCTCTTCCATTCTTTAGGCCATTTAGCCATACCTCACCGTTTTCTTACTTCATGCATATTATACAGTAAATTCTACCTCTCTCACAATGAACCACTAAAAAGACCAGATATATTATTAATATAAAGTATCCCCTCAATTGTCGAAAGGCTCCCGCCAGGTCACTCCAGGGATGTCTGCCCAATTAAAATGCAAGAATGAAAGGTACATTATTCCCTACCTAAATTAGCCCATGATAGATGTCCTAACAATATTTTGAGTTACAAATCGCGACATCACACTGCTCACACCCCCAAATTGATTGATGCCTCTTCTTATTATTGCTGACCGGCGCCAAAGGCTTCCTTGAGCTTCTTGACCTTGGCTGCCCAACCCGGTGGCCCTAACAAGCAACGCAATTATCTTTTTTCCCCCTTCGGATAAGTTTATGCTGTGCCATAGGCGTAAATTCGTCTCTGGTCCGAAACTTCTGCTTTGACTAACTTTCCTTATGGAATGCTTTAAATAGCTCGTTATAAATGCGCCGGCGCTACTCCTTTTGGCTCGTATATCGCTTCTAGGTAGGCTGCCCGTGGCGTTGCAGAAGAAAATTATTCATAAGGACCACATTAAGCAGGAAGGTCTAAGTAAGAGCTTGCCAAGCGCCGCGGCGAATAGGGTGATCATAGCCCTGATATGCCCTTATCTGGTCTCCTTGATCGATATGATTTATCTCATCGTTATAAGTAGTAGCTACTGTAGGGATTGATATTAGCTTAATTGATTGAGAACTCATAGATGACTTTGAAATGATTTGTTTGACGATTTTGGCCAGAATGGTTAATGATGCATCTTTAGGTTCCCCTCATGTACCTGTCATGTGATAGGGGTCATGTGGGCTAAGGTACTTTCGGGAGCCTTTCGACAATTGAGGGGATAGGCGGTGCGGGCGGCGATTAAGTTCACTATAGACACGAGGAGACTTGATGCAAACTAGATGACTTACTAACTAATAGCATTTAACGGCCAAGACCTGGCGATACTAACACTAAATAGCTTCAAGCTGGCAGACCATGCTTCAGCTGCTAAAGATAGGATGCTGAACACTTGGAGAAATTGGCCTTCAAGCAGGCCTGTCACACAGAGTCAAGCGAGGCGAGACCAACCATCAGATGAGGAAGAATGTGGGGCTTCTGGGAGACGCGAACCAAAACTGTACACAGCCTAACACACCTGGCCCCAATGAGGTTAGTCCTCCCGGGCGTAATAAATTTCATTAAATTCATTCATTCATTCATCCAAACAAGCCAAACTTTTGCTTGTAGCCACAGTGTCCGTACGCAGTTAGTTATATTCCGCTAGGTGGACAAACCCCAAGTTCGGCGACAGACCCTCCGTAAGGCTTGTCACCTAATTGCTATGAGGTTGTTGATTTCGGCGGAACCATCATTTCGGTCATGGTTACAGGCTGTTGCCGTAACTGCCTTGGGTCTCACTGCACGCCTTGGAGCGTAGTCGTCAATTAAACGGAATATCCTTTCGGGACTGCCTTCACCACTGTCGCCAAGTGGATACAAACAAACAGGCAAAAATTAGGTTGCTGCTCAATACAGCGCTGTCAAAAAATAATATTGATTGATATCTTGAGCCAGACTGGCAGACCGCAGGTTTTCTATTCTCATCCGAAAAGGAGGCAATGGCTACCCAGATCCGTTCAGTACGCGCGCTCACGAAGATTCAGCACCTCCCTATCCTACATACTTTTCAGACAAATAACTTAGGACGTACTATATTTCCAACCTTACATCGAGATATGGTCTTGGTTTTCCGCGTCTTCACCCTCGTGATTCCACTCCACTTGGCCGGCAAAGCCCCAAGCCACCCGTGGGTGGCTGTGGCCGAACCACACTCGCCAACAACAGTCACAACGTCGGACTTCAAGTGTAAAGTAGAGGCAAATCCTTTCCCAAGTTGAGCTCCATATCGCCAAGCGACTGATTGTTCGTCAAAGACAATGCTTTGCCCAAGAGCTGCGACACGATTGGATCAGCCATCCGCCTGTTGAAGGAGGCGGCATCTTGCAACAGATTTTCCAATGGAGGACGCGCCGCGAGGTTGATTGACTCCTTGGCCGCCGCTAGCGCTGCTAGAGGGTATAGGCTCAAGCGCGAGGTGAGCTCGTCAATGTAGGCATACATCTCACTCGATGTATCGAAAGCTTTGTTAATCCAGCCGATTCTCTCCGCGTCTTGTGCGTTGATGTCCTTGCCGCTTAGGATATACTCCATTGCCAGGCCTCGGCCGATAAGTCCAGGAAGATGCTGGCTTCCTCCTCCTCCCGGAATGAGGCCAGTGGCCACCTCTATCTGTCCGAGGAGCGTTTCGTACTTGGTAGCGAAGCGCATGTCGAGCCCCATCAGCAGTTCGTTCCCTGCTCCGCGGGCTCTCCCGTCAACTGCGCCGATGGTCACCTGCGGCAGGTTCGAGATGTTGTACATGAGTTCTACAAAGCTATCCGCGACAGTTTCTGGTTCACGCGTTAGATCTGTCTTGAGAGCGATCGGGCTTTCCGAAGCATTGCTTACCAATTCCGGGCGTCAGAAGGTCCAAATGGGCACAGAAGAACCCTGGAACGTCGCTCTTGAAAATGACGACCTTGGTTTCATTGTCGGACTGAAGCCTCTGTACAATGTCGGCCAACCCAGTCTGAAAATCCGGGTTCCAGAGATTGATCGGCGATGTCGGGTTGTGGAGAGTGATTTCGAGGACACTCGCGTTCTGGGAAGTCTTTAGACCTCGGTATTCTGGGAGATCTAGAGCGAGCGTTGTCGAAACAAGGAGGCTGGCCAGGGCTGGGGTCCGAAGCCACGCAGGATACATATTGCCGAACGAATGAGTAGGAAGACTGAGTGAAGAAGGAATGCGTGGTGATGCGAATGAAAACATCAAGTGTCAAGCGGACATCACCTCTGATCTTATACACAGTACGCCCGCTGAAAAAAAGGAATCTTCCTGTACATCCATGCGAATCCCCTACGCAGCTCGCACTCTTCGTGAAAGAGATTAAGATTACAAATGCGCATAGTGCTTAGCCATCGACAGGCGCGGAGTTAAGAAGTTAGATGATCTTGGAAAAGTGCCGGACTAGCTGCAAGCCGACCTGTAGTCATCGGGATAACCATCTCGCCGGCATATACGACCGTAGGCAGGTCCCACATACGTCTGTCCGGGAGGACCCTGAATACTTTGACACATTAAGGTTCATGCCGTCATACCTCAAGGGTCGTCGAAATTGGATTCAGGCCCGAAATGAAACGGAGGCACAATGTACTTTTCGGCACTTGTGAGAAACAGAGCCCACGCTTCCCGCACCGCCAAGTCTAGGATCTAACACACTTGTCCAACATGACGTATCGATAACGCCACGATTCAAAGCCTGTTATTCAGGCCCTGGGATTGATATTGGCCCAACCATACGAATGCAAGTCCATACAAGATTTGGCCCCACAGGCAGTATGGTCCGGTCGACATGTGCTTTCAGCATATTCAGCAGTAGGGATATATGTAGGGAGAGCGCTACATTCGGCGAGCCGAAGTCCAGAGCGCCGTACGTTTATCGTATACGCATCTTCTACGTTCTAACTCGAAGGTGGCAATTCTCCGTAGGTAGATGGGAGATGTATCGTTAAGTAAGATACATTACAGACCTAACAACTGGACGCAAACGCAGATTATTCCTAAGCAACTTGAAGAGATGAGAATTGACACAGTGCACGCGGAAACAACCTCCCAGCCTCACAACCGCCGTATCTCCCGCGCCCCACCTCCCGCAAAACAAACCCCTGAAAAACTTACGCGCCCTTCGCATTCTTCAGCCATGACTTGTAATGTTCCTGAACCGCTTCCTCAGCCGAACGGTACGCCATTCCCAGCTCCTTAATACTCTTGCTGTTATCGACTTTGAATCCAATTCCCATGTTCGCGTCTGACCATTTCTTTGATATGCCGATGAACGGCCCCGCGGCGTAGACCATCAGCTTCGGGAGATTCCAACAAGGCAGCACCTTGGGGTTCTGATGGATCGGCCGGACGAGGTTCGCCATCTCCAACAGGCTGATAGTGTGGTCACCGGAGATGATGTATCTCCCCTTTGTAGCCGTGTTCGCCCCGACCTTGACATGCGCCTCGGCCACATCCCTGACGTCGACCAACGGCCAGGAAAGATCGGCACAGCCCATCCGATTTTCGCCGCGGTACATGGCTTCGAGCATGAAGAGACTACCGGAGACGGATTCGGAAGTCATGGACGGACCGAGGACCATACCCGGGTTGATGACCACCAGGGACCAGCGGTTCTGGAGGCTGTGTATCTCCCACGCCTCCCGCTCGGCAACCGTCTTGGAATACGCATACGGAGCATAGCTGACGCTGCTGGTCTCGTTCCAACAGGACTCGGAGAGGGTCTGATCTTTCACCTTGAGGACGTCTGCGTTGTCGCCATACGTGGCAGCAACTGGAGGGGATCAGACAACAACTGGCACGCAGGAATAGGGAATCGCCTACCGGAAGACGTGAGAACAACACGTTTGACACTTTCCACGTCGTTGGCAGACTGGAGAACGTTCTTTGTGCCTTGAAGCGCAGGCTCGACGCACTCCTTCAATCCGTCCTTGATCTGCTGCGGCACCAGGAACGGCGAGGCGATGTGGTATACAACCTCACAACCCTCCATGGCCTGGCGGAAAGACCCATGCTCCATGAGGTCGGCTTCGAACAATTTGAGCTTGGTCGAGTATTTGGCCTGAAGGTCCAGTAGCGGCTTGCACTTGGTGGTGTTTTCCAAGTTGCGGACCGTGGTGTTGACATGGTGGCCGCGTTCGAGAAGCAGCTTTACCACGTAGAGGCCGATGAAGCCTGTGCCGCCAGTGACGAGCGATTTGGACATGTTTCTAGTATGGGTAACGTAGAAGATGAGAAGAACGTTAAGTTAGACTGCGAGGCTGTTCGGTTTGGCGACAACAGGAAAATAGCTCGGCTGGACACAGTCCAGGGGCATGGGAGATGTGCTCTTTAACAGCAACAGGGCTATCACGATGCCAGACACGCTCTGCTTGATCATTCGGAGAGGCCCAGATCCGATCCATAATCGTCTCCTTGATGACTACTGAAGCGCCACCTGATTTAACGTCCTTGAGCAGAGGAAAATGCCATTACGCCGAAGAATGGGCCCCGATTGCGTCCCATGGCTGCCGGTTTTAGTTCGACCGCAAGGGTGGAGACTTTGGCTGCATTGACTAAATATTGAGCCGATTACTGATGTGCACCAGCGTTTATCGTCTCATCGGACCAAAGTTACTCCTAGCGACCGCCGATCGGGTTCTCCCGAGTTTATCAGCGTCTAAAGAGGAGTGGATGGTGCTTCTTCCACAGCCGGCCCACCTTATCAGTAAAAATCCTCTCCTGCTATTTACGAGCTGGACTTGACATACCTATGGAGTTTAATGAGTCCTGAATTCGCATCAATCATCAGCTACGGACTAGAAGGCACGCCACACCAGACCCTGAAGCAGGAACATGGTCTCGCTAGCTCTGTAGTGTCGATGCAAGCACTTTGTGGATAGAAGAAGTAGTAGAAGTTAATAATACATGGCTTACACCGACAAATATGCTAGTCTATCTAAAGTACCAAGTACAGGGGAAAACCAGCATGCGTGGCCCTTGACAAAAAAGACCTGCAATCTATTGTCACTTTGCAGTTTGTGATACATTCCTACAACGAGCTTAGCCTCACCGCTAAGTGCCAACTGCCGTGTGTGCCACCATGACCTGCCCAACAACTCTCTTTCCTCCTCCTCAATCTTCCACTCATCGATTAGCCCCACCGCCAGTCGATACATGTATAGCGGGCCCTGTCCTCATCAACCAGGGCACGATTGCCTTAGGCCTCTTTCTGTCACTAATGCTGGTTCTTGAAACCAGCCGGGCCCAGTAGGGCCGAGGCGAGACGAGCTCACTCCGCTGGAAGTCCCGGGCAGAACACAGCTATGTGGCTGGTCGCCACCCTGGTTTGGCCACACCGCTACATGTTCGATGAGTGACTTTGATGCCGCACAGCGGTCCTGACTATGTGCCTGGGCTTCTTGTAGGCTGTTGCTTGTTCTAGCACCTAACACTGTTCCAACTAGCCATCATCTCCGCTTTTGGGCTTCCTGGCTTGCCCAGGTGAGGAAGGCCATCTCGCAGCTCTCGAGTCCCATGGGCGACCTTGGCCGAGGAGGTATAACGGTTATATATTCAACGAGAATGTTGCTGGATCCGGTGAGGAGGGTTTCATGACTCGTTCGAGTTTGCTTGCATCAGATGCCTCCACAAAACGTCGACATCCTCGTTGGGAGTGGAAGCATGCTATTATGAAGACGACGGCTGACACTTGCGGCGTTAATACTCCGCGGTTGGTGGAAGTGGACTCAGGGAGTAATCAATTTCTACTAGTCTACTTCCTATACCATATTCGACTAGTCTTTATGCGTTATATCTTCTTCTATAACTAGAAAATACTATATATTAACGCCTTAGATATTAAGGGATAACTTAGTATATAGATATCCACGGGTATAATCTTATTATAGCCCCTTATAATAGAGTAGCTATAATAATAATATCCTCCGCTATTTATATAGCTACCTATAGAGATAATCTATCGCGGCTTAGGTATCTAATTATAGACCTATTATAATATAAGAGCTATCTTATTTATAAGGGTATCGGCGATAATTATAATATCGAAGTAGTAAGGAGAGGCATAAAAGATAATATTAAGATAATCTTAATTATAGCGAGGGGTAGAGAGGTATATTATTTTAATAGTATAATAAGTAAGACTAAAGGTTATAGGCTAGAAAGAACCTAGTTAAATCTAGTTAGTGACTTAATTAATAATAGTCTTATATAATATTATTAAAGTCCTATTAAAAATATTACCTATTTAGTTATACTATGACATATAAGGCATATTATAGAACGCTCTTTGTCCCCTCTTGACTAGGCAAAGGAAATTTTTTCCTTCCTGGCATTATAGGAATAGGTTTAGATAGTGCTCCGGCGATAGAATATTGCTGCCTAGTCGTCGATGACTTAAATAAAGCACTTGAGATGTATGCTAAGGGCACTTAGCCATAGTGGAAGAGGGTAATAGAGGGTTTAGCTAAATGGGTTTTTATTAATGACTGTTTGCGGACATGAGCATGAGTTGGTACGCGTACCTCGGAACGCCTCTGAGGTAACCGACCTCGTTATAAACGGCATAGCGAGAGATTTCCACCTATCCGCGAAGAATATACGAGTAAGTCAAGCAGGTAAAAAATGGAAAAGAATTGGGGGCTCTCTTCTGATCAACCACTGCACCAGGGAGACGGTGTATGGCAGGGCCGATGGGTGAATGATTATTCTGCCTCGAGCGACAGACACCCTTGGAGGAGTAAGGCGGTTGCTACACCCGATTCATCCATCGAACCGATGTTGCAATGGCATTTTGTTCAGAGACCGTGACTAAGGACTCCCCCCTTTCCGGATGCTTCCTTGCCCGATTTAATCAGACCGAGGCTAAGCCATGATTAGTGAAATTGTCGATTCGTGGGTGACTGCTTTGTCAGTCAGGCGGATCAAGGCACCGCCCCACCTCCTCGGCGTAACCCGTTCATCCGCATTACTGATGAGACTTCCACGCCCTCAGGTGAGGGGCAACGTGTAAGTGTCATACCCGAACGCAGGCAATCTTCGAAATCAGGTCCGGTTGAAGTCCTGAGATTGACTTGAGAATCTAACAGATGACAAAGTCAGGGGTATGGCCCTGTCGCTTGGCGTACTTGTCATCCGACTAGCATCGGTCAGTCCGAATATGGGATGCCTCACTGTACACTTTCTTGACGACGAGGGGAAGCTTCGCACGTTTCTGCTCGGCTTGCCCCAACTCGAGGGCCGTCATAGGGGCGAAAACCTTGGAGATCGAGTTAAACCAATTTTATTAATGCCAGTTATTGCAAACTATGCCCATCCACCAACGTAAACATCCTCGAGCCTAGCGTCCATTCAGTTCCGCCCCCCCGAGCCTGTTTGATAACGTCTAACTAGGAGAAACCCTGTCCTTCCCGATAGCCTCTGAATGTTGGCACTGGCACTAACGGCTTTTCGATACGCAGGCAGTCCATTTCATCACTGTCGCACCTCAGGACCCAATCGCTGCGTAGCTAGAGATTTCAGACAGCCTGAGCCTTTTTTTATTGGCCAAGAACTCCTGGACGACGGCGTTGTACTCCTCAGGTGCTTCGGTCTGCGGGAAGTGATTGACGCCCTTCAAATACACCAAGCGGCCCCTTTCCCAACACGCCTTTTCTGAGGGCCAAGCATAGGGTCCCGGGCCGGTCTCCAGGCCCCCTCAAGTATTGTTGTTGTCTCGTTCAGAAGCAGCCGAGGCTGTCGGGGTCTGGGCCCCTATTTTGAAGCCCAAACGGCATTGATCATTGGCCTGCCACTGGGTCCTGCCTCCTCGTAGTGATGTCCGTCGCGCGTGATAAGTAAACCATAGACGCTCAGGCCCAACAGCTGCGAAGAAGGAGCACAGAAAGTTTAAACGAGGTGTTTTGGGCTTGCGGTCAGGCTCTCAAGCCAACATGCATTCGCTTAATTTGCTGTTGTGGTTGATTAACCGGCCGAGAGCTGTTGGTTGGAGGATTTCCAGCAGTGACAGCTCTGAGGCAACAAGGAGGCACCGTTGTCGGTGCGATGATTGCGGGTCCGACTCGGGGAAAGATCGTGTACCTAGGTTGCTTGGCAGCGGGACCTCGTTTGCGATCGAGGACGAATGAGGCATATCGTGTGACGAGGCGGTGGGCGTCAAGGTGTCCATGTCTCAGCAGCAGCACCCTTCCGGTCGCCAACGGAGCCTGGGAGAGGTGCCGACTCGGATCGCCGATGCCGATCGGAAAAGGCCGATTGTAAGGGGGTTTATCCACCCAACGGGCAGGCGTCTCCGCGTGCCATGGCTCCGATATGCTTCAGTCTGGCAGAGCTGCCTTGAAGGATCTGGTTGGGGTGGTGTCGAGGTTACGTAGTCGGTCGACTTGGCAGGAGGATTAGCGGCAGATCTTTCGCCATCCTCTGGACGCAGCACCGTTGCACGTCGAGCCTTGTTGCGTGAGAGAGCGGTCTCGAACACTGTGCGTGGGCCGCCCTCTCGGCTGCGGGAAATCAAATCAAGCATTTTTCTTTGTAAAGGGCTTCGGGAAGGTATTCCGCCTAGGGTAGATGGTCCCACTGTGACATGTACAAGGCTATGTTATTGGAGGTTTCATCTTCCATCCAACGGACGTACCATCCTCTCAATGAATCCGGGCAGCGCTAGGCTCCGGATTTCCACTTTTATCCGCGAAAATGGCATAACCAATAAAAGAGACTGGTGGTGTCAGATTTATGGGACCGTGAGCGCTCTCTGTTGAGAGGATATGGTACGCAGCACCCAATTACCTATTTACTCGACAGGTTAGCTCTCACCGGAGGAAGACAAGGTAGCATACCCATTCCAGATCAAGCTTGGCGATCTCTCAGTTAAGAATCTTCCATGTGAGCGCGTGGCTGGTCCCACAGACAACCAATGAGTTACGACCCAGGTTTGACCAGGATAAAAGCCAACGCCGGTTTGGGATAATTTATCGAGTCTACGGGAGTCGCTGCTCAGCCGAGAAACGCTCCTCGGCCATTGGCCGCTGATGACCAGCAACTGTTGGTTGTCGATTGGCTGCATAAAATGGCCAAGCCAACAGTTGCGTCGTTTCATAGCCGTGCTTTCGAGTCTGGACCGTCGTCTGCAGTGGGCTGAGGCGGAGGCTTTTTTTTTTTTTTTTTTTGCCCAGGCTGTGGCACAAGGCATCCGCTCGTCAATTTGACTTTGACTGTGCTGTTTAACCTGGATGTTAGGCGTCCGATTGTAGCACCAAAGGAATGTTTCATCATGATCAGCTGCGGACTTGGCAGTGCTGAGGCGGAGAATAAACGCGCCAGACATCCGACAGGTGTAGATTGACAACAGTCGCTAATTTCACCCAGAGATTGTCGCTCGATTTTCCTGCTGTCGTCCGGCGATGGGCAAATTGGGCCGGACTTTTGGCGCATCCTTCGTGGCAGGCAGGGCAGGGGTGACAGGGAGGCCCAGCAAGGCTAACCTCGGCAGAGGCTGCCTCTAGCTGGCTCGACGCCCACAGCGATCACAGCCCTAGGCGGATAGCGCCCAATCACGGCTGCAGAGGACGAGATGATCTGCCTCGAATTAGCGGACTAGAGGCTGCTAGCCGGAGGCTATCCACACCCCCTAGTCCTGCCCCAAGGATTTGGGGGCGTAAGACGGCGATCAACACAGACAGAAACGTCAAGCGCCGCAGAGCCCCTGGTTCTGGTCGTCGACAGCAGTCTTTGACATTATTCAGGGATGGACTGCGAGGCGAGGGTGCTGCCTACAGTACGTACAGCACAGCAGTTACAGCCGCTAAGTTTGCTTTGTTCGTGCACGCTCGGACTGGTATATGTGCTGGATGGGGCGCCACTCTTGGTCTTGGGCGCTGTTTCCAGTTTTTCGCTTTTGCTCCCTCTGCCATGCGACAATCTGCTGCTTGACTGTCTCTTGACTGACTGCATCTCACCCTCATCCCCCATAACGCATGTCTTCACACATTGCACTTCCAGGCACGGTGCGGCCACGGTACAGATTTCGCTTCAATGGCTCAAAGTTGAGATGGGCTCGGAGAGGGTGTCTGCTGCTCTTCATTCTATTATCTATCACTTTAACTATATATTACCTAGTACGCATCATCCCCCCCTTTCTTGCCGCCTTCATCGTTATAGCGAGCTAACCACGCGACCAGATGCTTAATGACCGCGCCTAGCACCCTCAATCACCAATACAGTTTGATTCTTCTCTGAAGTCTAAATCAATCTCTGCTAGACAACAGAAATTTGCCATTGTTCTCCCCGTCGATAACTCCAGCTATAACCTCTGCAAGGTCATTAGCAGTATTATCGCCCTAGGGTACCCTACGCCTATCATTATTAACTAGAAAAGAGACTTTTATACCGACACCGAGGGGATTAGCCTATCGCAGCTAGGCAAGATCACGGGCACCCTTAACTATCTAGAGTAGGCGACGGGTCAAGATACGCCCAATAAAGAGGCTAGGCAACGATAATTTGGTTCTCATACTAGACGCCCACGACATTTAGATATAATTACCTCCGAGCATCCTCCTTTACCGATACTTCAGCAGCAATCAACGAGCCAACAAGCGACTCATCAATAAGTATGGCTTCGATAAGGACCTAATAAAGCAGACCATCATCATCTCGGCCCAGAAGGGCTACATCGCCCCGCGCGATAAGATCTCTAACCTCTACTATAACGACGTACCTAAGAGCACCCTCCCTCCTAATATCTTCGGCTTCTTCACCGACTATAAGATCGGGAGGTAGAAGTTTATGCGGCCCAAGTTTATTAACAGCGGCAGCTTTATGGGCCCTGTAGGCGATATACGCCGGTACTTTTAGCGCGCTAAGGATAAGTTAGATCAAGATCTTATCGAGATTTCATCGAGCAAGGACCTCGCTAGCGATCAGGGCATCTTTGCTGAGGTATTTGGCGAGCAGGAGCTATGGCGCCAACACGCCAATCTCGACGAATTTTCCGACAATAACGCGGCCAAGCCGACAGCCATATAGTCGCGGAACGAGTTTGAATACCACCTCGGCCTCGACTATACACAGGAGCTCTTCTACCTGACCTGCTATTCAGAGGAAGGTAGCTACTTTGTCCCTATAGACGACCCTATCGCCATAGAGAAAGAATCAAGCAACACAGGCATCTCACCACCGCGCATAAGGGGTATTCCCGCAGACATCTACAAGGCCAATAACCCACTCGCCAAGCTATCCGACGCGTCCGATAAAGACCTCACCTAGGGTAAGGTGCCGCTATACATCGACTTCTAGACGACAGCGATCCCCGTAGCGATACACCACAACGCCTAGAGGAACGGTCTCAAAAGCCATCAGATAAAGTAGTGGGACAAGACGTAGTACTTCCCGCACCTGCGGGATCTACTCGAGGTGCAGATGCAGGCCAACGGGACGACAGCGCCCCTAGCGACGCTCGACGCCAAAAACGGCAGCCTCGAGATCCGGCCATACCACGTCGAGGGCGAGCCCAAGGCGTCGCTACTATTCGGCAAGAACAAGGAGACAAGGAGCTAGCAGCTGCGGGCGGTGGACTAGAATACGGTCTACAGCAACAGCAATGCAACGGCCGAGGCCGAGGCTCACTGGTACGACGAGGTTTTCCGGGATAGCAAGGGCTCATTATAGGGGCATATGTATTTTATTCGGGGTTGATTCATAGCGCCGCGGTATACACGGGCTCATGACAAGATTAGACAGCATGATTATCCTGATGTTCCTTGAAGGAATCGTTTCAAGACCTGCATGTGATGATCCTGGCGATGGTTAAAAGCCGCAAACGGTGAGAATAGGATGGAATGTGATGATGGTATGCAGCTAGTATCGAGTCAGATCTTGACTTGTCTGCTAACAAGTCTCTCACATCGAGATCAACGTGTCCGCCATGGAGACTGTTGAAATTCACATCTCCTTCTGGCAGACCAGCCAAGACAACAGATGTTGGAATAACTGAGGGTTCCCCCTCAACTTCAGGATCAAGATTAAAGTTAAAGTTTGATGTCCGAAACTCAGATCGTAGGACTGTCATCTAGGACTCTGTAGGACTCAAGTCCTAGGCGGAATCAGTCGAAGATATAAGGCCTCAAAGGTCCTTCGACTGTAAGGAGTCAACAACAACAACAACAATAACAATTTGTTATCAAGTGCACTCAGCATTCCTGCGCAATCCAACAACAACAGACCCCCATCGTTATCTTTAAGCAGAGGAGCTCATAACTGCAAGTGGTGAGATGCTATCCCGCTTGCATTCAGCTCAAGTTCCAGACCCTGTTGTGCACTTCCTCTAGAACACAATAGACTGTTGGTTAATATCAACAACCTAGGATTCCCAGAACAAGAAGGGGCAAGTGACCGATGCAGCATGAAATGGGGCCGTTGGAGCCGGGTGCTTTTGGAAGCCCCCGAGGGATAAAACTCACCATTCAGAGGCTCGTATCTGACACCTGGCGTGTGAAGCAGGGGACACGGCATGTCCACCGACGCCTCTCCGGTGGGGCGAACAAAAGAACCCTGGTGTACAAAGGGACCCCGGCTGTTGCATAGTTGTCTCCTCATCGGCACCGTTTGACAGGACGATCCGTGCATGAGCTTGTGTGCACCTCTGCGGACGGGACGGGCGTCTGAGTATTGACGCCGGGAAGTCATTCTGATTAACCTCTTGCAACGCTCTACCCGTCGATCAAAACTCAAACTCCATAAGCTGTAAGTGTTATGTGTTAGTTAACATTTTCGCGATACGCGTATCTGGGCTGCTAGGCTAGATTCGAGCCGCCCCATCTGCATGGGGATACCGGTTCCGTGATGCTGTTCAATCCTGACACATGGATGGGGGCGCAGGCACATCTAGGTGCTGGTTGCTGATAGACTGAGAAATCCATGCTGGAACTGTTGGTTCTGTATGTATTCGAATGTCCCGTGAATGAGAGTCGCCGGCTGGGTTGCAAGCCCACCTGGCGAGCCGGGGGGTGGTTGGCTGTCTAATCCTCTGCGAGTGAAGCAACCGAAGTTGAGGTGTCTCAGGGCGGTGGGAATCATCAGTTCATGGAGAAGCTGCTCGCTCTTGAGACGAGTATAAGAGAGGGCTGGTCTCGCTGCAGGAGGTTGCTTCTCTTCTTCACCCACAGGACAACAGGACTACAGACTCTCAACCCAGCCTCAACTCCAAAATCCACCTTTTTTCTACAATCAAGATGGTCTCCCTCAAGGCTCTCTGCTCCGTCCTGGCCTTCAAGGCCCTCGCCGTGTCCGCTGCGCCGGCCGCGGAGCTTCCCAAGTTTACTCCTCCCAACAAGCTCCAGGCCTAGGGCTCCATCTTCTACTGCTCCAACATCCGCTGGAACGGCGAGTGCAGAAGCGTCGGCGTTCCCCTGGACAAGTGCCGTAAGTCCACCTCGCCATTTCTGTGTGTGTCAGCTGCTGAGTACTCCAACAGACAACGTCCCCAAGGCATAGAACGACCGCATCAGCTCCATCAAGAACCAAGCCAAGGGCTCGTATAAGTGCACCTGGTACATGTAAGTTGATCCGTTTTCCATGTGTCTGGATGTTGCTGACATGGATATAGCGGCTACAACTGCAATGGCAAGTCGTACTCCAACCAGGAGGATGCCAACCTGGCTGATGGCGACGGCGCCTTCAACGACTCCATCAGCAGCTACTCTTGCCGACGCAAGTAAGCGGCTTTGGAGTTTCCCTGTGGCGGATGAAAGAATCAGGTCCGGACGCCCTGCTTGAGCCTTGGGGACATGTAGCCTCTGTACATAGACAAGCCTGATTACACCTAATATCAACACCCTGCATACAATCCTTATCGTCCTTTCATGTTGTAAATACTGCTTCATTGATGCTGAGCCGAAACTCGACCTACTTTTGGTCACTGTTGGAATCTAATCACCCATGGCCGTACAGCCCGACTCATTGTGTAAATGGGTAAGCTCACACGCATCGCATTGGGTGAGAAATCTGCTCATCTTGTTGGTATCTGTTGAAATGAGAAGATGCTAATTGCTTAATTCATCCTAAAAGTGCAGTAGGGGAACCACTGTTTATGTACAGGCACGATCTCTTGTAGAATGTTCCTCCTTCTTCCACACCTTGCCACCGACTTGGTCGCCTCATACTTGTGATATCCAACAAACTTTGGCGGCTCATTCCGGCGATTCACCTTCAATCATGGCGGACGAAAGCAGCATGCCCAAGATCATCTCATTCACCAAGACCTGGCACTCCGAGCCGTACGCCTTCATCTCTCCAACCCGGCCTGAGCTTTCAGCAGCTGGAAAGAATATCGTCGTCACCAGTGGTGGCACTGGCATCGGCAACGCCATCGCTACAGCCTTTGCCAAAGCAGGCGCCAAATCCGTGGCCATCCTTGGACGCCGCCAGGATAAGCTTAAGAGTGGCGCTGTCCACATCTCGGCAGCAGCGGCGCAGGGTACTCAGGTTCTATACGAAACAGCTGACCTTTTGGACCTGGGCCAGACTGAAGCTGCGTTCCAGTCCATTGTCGCTAAGGTCGGTGAGATAGACGTCCTTGTCTCGAACGCCGGAGGACTCCCGGAGCCGGGTCCCATTGCAGGCTATGACGGCAACACATTTGTTCGTGCTGTCAGCGACGGCCATTTGAGCTCTTTGAACTCTTTTCAGTCTTTTCTGGTGCATGCTGGTCCGAAGCCGATTCTGCTCAACACATCTAGCTACATGGCCAATATTACTCCGACTCCAGGTATGAGCGCCTACTCTGTGAGTAAGGCAGCGGCCCTGAAGCTGTCCGGCTTTATCGCGGCGGAGAACCCAGTGATGCACGTCGTCAATGTGCAGCCTGGTTGGGTGGCTACTGACCTCAATGGACATCAAATGGAAGCAACCGACTCTGGTAAGTTACCTTCCGGTTCTATTAGTTAATTTCTCGTATATGCTAATCAGGGGTAATATAAGTTGAACTTCCCGGGCAATTTTATGTCTGGTTGGCGTCGCCTGAGGCTAAGTTTTTAAAGGATAAATTCGTTTGGGCAAACTGGGATGCACAGGAACTTCTGGAGAGAGCTGAAGAAATTTGAGAACACAAAGCTCCTTACCTGGGTCCTAGACGGGGCTCCGATGTAGGCAGCTTTAAAAATGGGCAAGGACGGTCGGACTAGTGGTGCGAAGGGAATAAAAGGGTGTAGTTTTATTGGGGTTGCCTCACGTGACGACCACACTGCAGAATAGGCTTCCCGGCTTCGGAGGGCTTACTGAGGGGTTTCTTCCCTCCTGCAACTGCCTCACGGGGAGTCAATTGCTCGCCTCGGCAGGTGTCTCGTCATCTCTCACGCAGTCAAGACTCGATTTTCCCTCCCTCTTTCCCTCTGTATATAGAACCACTGCAATATACAGACACTTTGCCTCCCTACAGGGGAGCGCGGACGGGGCTCTCTCTGACGCTACGGCCTAACGCGTTTACGTATATATGCCTTTTGGTGGAATCAACTAGAATGACTGCGTCACCAGACTGTGGCGATAGGTAACGATATTGCTGTGGCAAAATCCTTCCTTTCGAGCAGCTTCCAATAGCTTCCTTTTTACCACATATTCAACACGAACCGAGAGCTCTATCTCCTATACATGAGGCTTCTCAACAGCTTCAAGATTGAGAAGCACGACGAGATCGACTGCTACCCCATTACCGGCAACTTGGACCCAACAAGGCTTGTGGCTATGCCTCATCGCTACGAGGCCATATTCACTGCAAGAGACCCCAAGGCGCTGCAGGAGGCTATGGCGCAGAAGATTGAGTAGATAGAAAGTGGGATACATGGCTAGGGAGATGGAAAATCTGGGATAACATGAGGTACTTGGTGGTCTCCGGTGTTATGCGGCATTGGGCTTATTGAGATGCCAATATTGTGTTGAGGGTTGTGTTCTTTGCTGTTGCGGCTGGCCTCCCTCTGGGAGGAAAAGCCAAGATTAACAGTACTCAGTCGAGACTTGCTGGTGATCTATGCTAACGACTGTGATGTCTACATTTACCTACAAACCAGAAATAGAGATTGCATAGCCTAGCCCGCAAACGTGCCATGCTTGTTGAATGTGACAGGATGATTCAAGGCTTCTTACCCCAGATGACATAGATCGGAATGTAGAGATGGATAGACGGATCATTAAACTCCTTCCTAACCTTGGCAATGAGCACCTGGATCTCCTCGTCGGTCCAGCCGAGAACACGCGAGAACACGGCAGGCGTGTAGGACTCGGCGCCCTGGATCTGCTGTATGAGCTGGTACTTGCCGAGCTCCTTGAGGCTTGGATCCTTTGGCCATCCGCCAATAGGTATCTACAGCGAGTGATTAGCAGCTGGACCTGACGTTGAAGTTGGAAGAGCCAGTCAAACCCACAAACCTTGAGGATCTCCTGCCGAACGTCTTCGAACCCGGCGTCTTCCATCTTTTGCTTCCACGTCGGAGCACCGTCAATAGGCTTGCCAAACTTTTCAATTCCCTCGACCAGCATCCTGCACCAGGACTGGACTTCCTTTGCCTTGTGGGCTGTGTCATCGCTGCGTACTGGCGTGGCCGTCCGCGCTTTTTGCGTCCGAGTTCTGCACCGGGTGGCTGATCCATGGTTGAACCTGGAATAGTTGCTATAGAAGATCAGAGAACGTGTCAGAAGATTGGTATTCACAGCGATAAAACACAACCAAGTACTTAATGTAAGGAAGACGTTTGGATAAAGATATCAGTGAACCATTGATGTGGAGATTGTTTTACTTAACAGGCCTAGCGCGATTAGGAAGCGTGCTAGTTCAGATACAGTTTAGTTTTGACCACGAAATCAAAAGTAGTTTAGTTTTGGCCACGAAATTCTAATTGGCCACCGGACGGCAGAGCGACGACGAGGTTGACAACTTAGAAGAGTGGTAATACCACAACGAGGGCAGAAGTGAAGGTGAAAATGGGTTTTCCGATGTTGCAAGATCTAATTAAGTAGATTTGAGGCACAGTGAATAGTTTTTATCAACTTTCTGCTTCTAAAGTCCAGTCGGGTTTTCCCTAATGGCGAGCCCTAAACCGAGAGCGTTGGTCGACACGATCACTCGCTGGACTGCATCGTCATCGTCACCCCTGGCTCCCTGCCCGAGACCGCCGGCCCCGCGCCACCCTGCCAACAGCGACTGTTTTCCCGCCGGGGTATCGACGTTGCGGTGGTACAGTCGACAACCGAGCCGGCCCGCCAGCTCTTCAGCTGCTGCGATGGATGAGCTGTAGACGATGATCTTGCCGGGGGATGGGTGCTCCTCAAGCTTCTGGTCCACGATCTCCTCGGCCAAGTCCAGAACATGATCCCTGGTGACACGGCCGAGCGCGTCCAGCGTGGGCGGTGGAGCCTCGACCACGCTGTAGCGTATGTTGGGTCGGCTCGTTCGATCCCGCAGCAGCGTCACCTCACTCGGCTCGATGTATGCCAACTGGAAGAATTCGGCCTCGTCGCGTGGCGGCAGGGTTGCTGTCAGATACACCATCTGCACACCCTGCAAGGCCAGCTTGCCGACTTCCCTGAGCTTGGGCCGGAAATGAGGTGAGCCTTCGAGGAGCATGTGGCACTCGTCAAAGACGATCCGGTCCAGCTGATGCGTCGAGACCAGCCGGTTCAGGAGGCCAGCGAAGGTCTTTGTCATGGCCGACTCGGGCGTCACGAAGATGATCGATGCAGTGTTGTGCGGCCGCCGGCTATGCCAGATGACCGCCGACACGGACTTGGTAAGCTCGCACCGGCTCCAGAGGTCATCGCAGAGAGCCGCGAGAGGCACGACCACCACCGTTGTCCCGCCCACCGGGATGCTGGCGGGGAGCATGAAGCTGAGGCTCTTGCCGGCGCCGGTACCCATCACCACGACGATGGGGCTGGCGCCGTGCAGTATCTCCCGGATCGCCTTCTCCTGCAGGCCACGAAAGCGGGCGCCGGGCCCCTGGATCGTCTCGAGCCGCTCCTGCATGTCCGTATCTGCCATACGTCTCCAGCGCTCCGTGCGGACCTCCCTGTTCGCCTCCTCCCAGTACGACCCAGACGGTCTCTTCAGTCCGATGATGGGCGGTCCGTCCTCGCAGAGGGCCGACGGGAACTGGAGGAACCGGTGCCACTGCTCACTTATGGTGCGATACTGCTTCCTGACATCCATCGACTCGAACTCGGCCTCTGTGATCATCCTCCCACAGACCATGCCGCCCGTGAAAGAAGTATGCCCGGTCTGACGGTCCCACGGGTTGCTGAAGGCAGGTCGGTATGATGACGACGACGACGACGACGACAACGATGCTGCTGCTGGCCTCCTCTCTCTGCCAGTCTCGGCCTCGAACTCGAACTCAAACTCGGAGTCGGCCTCGTACTCTTCCTCCTCGCTGTTACCTCGGGGGCTCTTGTGTGAATTCGGTGCGGAGATAGCGGCGTGGAATGGCCGGGGCGATCTGTCGCCAGGAGCTCAGGTTGATTTCCGTCCCTATCTGTCCCACGGTCTCCTGCTTCATTAGGCACCGCATCAGTTCAGGCTTCCACCGAGACGATGACAATGGCTTCTGTGGTCCGCCGCGTCGTCGTCGTCGCCGCCGCCGCTGTCGAAGTTGTCCCCGCCCGGTGTTGTCATCATCATCGTCCTCCTCCTCCCCTTCGCCGGAGCTCTCGCTGGCGCTGGCCTCCTCCGCAGCGATCATGCTACGGTTCCCCCACATGAACGGATTGGTCGGAGACGGGGCCCGGGCCGTGGACCTCGCCCCGGAGGCCAGTGGCGCTCGCTCTCGGAACGGAAGAGCAGATCGTATGGGTGAGAGACGCTACGATGGGTCTATCCGACTAACTTGACCGCTGGTATCGCTGCAGCCGGCCGACGGCAGCGGATGAACAGCAAAAGGCAATTGTGGAGACTGCGATATTGTCATGCGTGCCACGGAAAACACACGAGGATAGTGTGTTCAAATAATTGGTGAAAAGCAGGAGAACTCGATTAACGGTGATGGGCAGCGAACTCGAGCGCTATTTGCGGCTGGAACCACAAGAAACTGAGGATCTAGTCGAGTGGTGGATGGCTCACCAGGGACTATTCTCGGTGCTCAGCCAGTTGGCTCTTGATATACTTGCTATCCCGGCGATGGTAACTGATTGTGAGGGATCTTTCGGCCTTACTAAGTTGACGTTGACGTCGCAGAGACTTTCGATGAGTGCGGAAACATTGGAGACGCTGTAGTGCCTTAAGAACTGGATTAGGCATGGTGCCGTGAAGCTTAGGGCTATTGTACCTAGGAGAGATAGGTTATACGGCGATATTGAGAGTAGTATGGAGAGCATAGATATTGGGATTTGAAATATTTGATTAAATATTCTAAATAATAAATCTGGCTTTGCAGGCCATCTAATATTTCAAATATGACTCTGGATTTGATTTGTTTGATTTGAGGGCAGCGCTGGAGAGCGAACGGCCGGCCAAGCCTATCGCCGGCTTATAGACGAGCTTGGCCCATCGGGAATCCCATGGGTCTGGGCTCAAGATTCGAGAGAGGTCCTTGCGTAGAGATACAGATCTCTACTTTGAAACCGAGAGTTCCAGATAATGCCCAACGAGGCTCTTCACCTGCGCCTCAAAACTGGCGAACTTCCACCCAAAGGCCTTTTCCGTTTCCGAAGAGTCCAACCGAATAGGTCTGCTCGGGAGTCTACCGGCAAGGGGCAGAGTCCCGTCAGCTACCTCTTTGCTGAAGTGCTTCCTGACGATCTCCTTTGCCTGCTCCCACGTAGTGCCTTCCAGCCCTCCAGAAGAGCAGAGATAGTTACGATGTCCGATGAGAGCGGGGTTCAAGGCATCAAGGTGAGCCTTGGCGACATCGTCAACGTGGACTGAAACTCCAAGCGCTGGCATATCGCTCGTAGTAGTCAGCAAGACGCCCATGGCCGTGGCATTGGAGCCGCTGGCGACCTCCTCCCTCCTGCGGTTCAGCTCGTTCTTTCCGATCACCATGGAGGGCAAAATATTGACAATGTCAAAGGTCGGCTTAGCTTCTTCAATAAAGCGCTCGGTGGCAACAAAGGCAGATGCCTTGGAAACTGCGTAGGCTTGCATGGCATTTTCGAAGGGAGTATCAGGCCCAGGCGGGATATAAGAGTCTCGCACTGCACAACGACTGCGTGTTATCATGGTGAACAATAGATTATACTGGAGTTATTCCACGTACCAGTAAACACCCGGGTCGTGTCAGGCGAGGTGATATATTCCCAAGTCAGGAGAGCCGCAATGGACGATGTTATAACGACCCTTCTGATCGACGGAACCTTCACAGCCGATTTGAGAATGCCCACTGTAGCGTTGATGGCCGGCTCGATCAGATCGCGCTTGTAATTATCACTCTGCGGAATGTAAATCACAAATGTTCGACATTGGTGCCGGGACGATCCAAGGTGGCATGCGCAGTACTCACTGGTCCTGGAAGGGGGGAGGCAACATGAATCACCTCGGTCGCCCCTCGTAGAGTGCCGTCGAAGGCTCCAGGTAGGAGCAAGTCGGGAAGCACAGAAAACTCCAGATGGCTCAGGTAGGGCTTAACAGATTCCGTACTTTTGATCAGCTGAGCCTGTTCGGGCTTGCGAATCACAGCGCGGACCTTGTAGCCTCTGCTGAGAGCTTCGGCGAGCACGCGAAAGCCCACATGGCCAGAAACCCCAGTGATCTGTAATATACTGAGAATCAGTGTCTGACGGGATGTCTTGAGAGCGCAGCCAGCAACATCCGGGATTTACGCGTAGACTTACGACAAGTAATTGGGTAGACATGATAAGTCCGTGGCGATCATACAAATAGAATTGAGGCTGGGTGTGGCAGTGTTACGTTTGAGAATATTGGAATGTCTCCCAGTTTCTGATTCTTGCCTAACGGCTGGCTCATCCCCTTTTATAACTTTCGTCAACAGACAAATTTAATAAGGATTGACGGCAGCTACGGATAATCAGTCATTCGAGGTGTCCTATCAGTGAAACGCCTTGCAATTTTTCCTTGTTGCTCTTGGCATCTTCGGGTTAGTCGTACGGACTTAAAACCTGGCTTACAAATACAGGCTAGAAGGTAAGCATGAATCGGCATGGGGCGATTCTCGCCCGGATCAGTAATTTCTAGAGTAGCCTCCTTTAAAGCCGGCCATTTGGGGCCCACAATCTGCAGGTGCTCGGGCTAACTAATCGGACTGCCTGGTCAAAAACCCCGCTTGAATCGTCCATAGGGTTCCAGCAGGTATGACGAATCGACAGTGCTTGGGTTTCATACCGTTGCGCCAACGGGCCAAAAGGCACAATGTTCGGTCAGCAGACCGAACCTCAAGCTACTACCTATATTAGCGAACCGTGACAGCAGGCTTTCACGGCCTAGTAGCAAGTACCTTTACCCATGCCCTATAGCAAACTTAACTGAAGGATTGGACTAGGAATTTGGTCTTGGTCAGACATCCCAGTAATGAATATATATTTAGTGTTAAGGGCATATTTATTGTTAAGCTTATCCATAAGGATAAGAATATAGACTGTGCCAATAAATATATAATTAACAATTAATAATATGCTCTGCTGCTCCCTGGCACCACTCACTACTATGTTTCAGAGCAACAGTCGGGCGATGTCAGGCAATCCCAAGTCGGCATTCTCTTGAGCAAGACGGATAATTTCCTGAGACGAGGCACGACTCTAGACTGATACTATCAAGAAGCTGCAATGCGTGGGAAATTGGGTGAAGAATGACTTGATCCGCAGAATCTACGTGGCGGTAGATGACGATGTCATGGACATTGCTGGCGACGACGACGACATACATGACGCTTCAGGATTATATTAATAATAATTGATAAGCTTAACAATACATAACAATATTAGGGTATAACAATATACCAATATTATGTATTTATTTATTATTGGGATGTTTGTTCTTGGTAGATACCGATATTTCCATTCCGCAGCCGTATGCCGATATAGGTTTTTTGTGGCGTATTCACGGCCTGCGGGTTTAGAAATCAAGCCATTTCTCACGTCACCTACGCCAGACATTCAAACCCGCGCTTTTAGTAGTACAAAAGTGCCGACATTCGAAATGCCAGATGTAGCGTCGTGCTGTAATGCGCACCAACTCTTAAACACGACAGATGAAACCGTCAACGCGCGGAATTGCGAGGTCTAAGCTGTTCTTCTGTAGTGTCCCTCTTTCAGGCTATACAGATTGTAGCCAATCAAGTTTTGTATCGCCGGAAGAGTCTTCAGATTTCTGCTCAGCTCGTCGGGAGGGGCTGGTTTTGACCCTGGCTGGAGGGCGTCGGAGTAATGGTACCACTCTGGCCACTTCGAGTTCCCGTTTCACGGTGCAGACAATGTTCGCAGCATGGTCATATTCCGTACTATCTTGAACTTATCATACAAACATCCATGTCCCAATGTGACTGTAGGCCACGGATCGATAGCAATCCTCCGCGCAATGCAGGCGAATTCCACCTCAAGAAGATCCAGTGCTCAATCGTAAAGCAGGGGGAGATCTCGACCCAGGAAAAGCTCCACTTCCCCGAACGAAATGTTACCGGTCAAAGCAAGGGCTCTGCCGAACAGTTGGCCAACGATCGGGTCGCCCAAGCAGCGATCGAAAGAAGCGGCGTCTTGTAGGAGATCCTCGAGAGAACGTGCGGGTATGGCGATTGACCGCCTCCTTGACTGCCGACAGTGCTCCCAAGGGGAAGAGACGCAGGCGCGAGTTAAGCTCGTCGATATAGGCATACATCTCTTCAAACAAACAGAAAGCCCTGCTGATCCAACCAATCCGTTCGGCGTCCTTGGCATTAATGTCTCTGCCACTGAGGAGATGCTCCGTTGCTAGGCCTCGGCCGATGAGACGGGGCAGATGCTCACTTCCGCCACCGCCTGGAATTAGACCAGTACCGACCTCAATTTGTCCAAAAAGGGTCTCCGGCTAGGATGCGAAGCGCATATCGAAGGCCATCAGGAGCTCATTGCCAGCCCCGCGAGCTCTTCCCTCGACGGCTCCAATGGTTGCCTGCGGCAGGTTCGAAATATCGAACATGAGTTTAGCGAAGCTTTCCCCAACAGATTCTGATCGTATGACATTAGGCTCGTCCTGAGAAATCAAAGGGTTATTCGGGGCCTCGGCTTACCAACTCCTGGCATCAGGAGATCCAAATGGGCGCAGAAGAACTGCGGAACGTCGCTCTTAAATATAACGACCTTGGTCTCAGTGTCATTGCGGAGTCTTCGGACGATATCCGTCAGGCCTTCCTGGAAATACACGCCCCAGAGGTTGATAGCCGAATCTGGATTGTGGAGGGTGATCTCCAGGACGGTCCCATTCTGAGTCGCCTTTAGGCCGCGGTATTCTGGGAGGTCTAGTGCGATGGCCGCAGAAGCAAAAACCAGAGAAGCCTGACCGACTTCGATTGAGAGTGCGAGCCGGCCATACCCAGATCTCCACCACGCCCCCAATGTCCTGGGCCTTGGCCATGCTTCTGCCTTCGGAAGATATGCTGTAGTAGACGACGTTGACTACCGGTATCCTGAGAGGTTTGGCAGACACAAAGATAGCACAATATAGCAAGAGATAAGTTATAGTCGCGGTCCTTTCCCAGATTAGGCCCCACATCGTCTAATACTCGGTTATTTAACAAAGCCAAGGCTCTGCCAACAAAGGTGCTACACGATCGCGTCAGCCAACCTTACGGTGAAGAACACGACATCTTACAAATAGATACCGGTACACAATTGCCAGCAGATTTAACCAATAACCGCTGGACGTCATGATATACCCATAAACAACTGAATCTACGAATCAAGCTCTGCTAGATAATTGAGAATCAAATTAAACTATATGAGTTGAAGCACAGATTAGTAGCTTGGTCCTTGACATGGGTTTTGCTGATCACAAAACTGAAAATCCAGTTTGCATGCTGGTTGTGGCAACGGCGCAAAAGGCCCGAGGGTGTGTCAACTCCAGCTAAGCCTACTTGGCCCTAGAGCAGCAGTACCATGAACCAATTTCAACCTTTCAAGAACAGCTCGAGTTGTTTTGCGTAGGCCAACGGGAACTGGAAAACATGACCATGGCCTGAGTCGGGATAAAGATGCAGCTGCGCGTTGGCCAATTGCTGCTGGAGAACGAAGCTGTTGGGCGTTCCCATCAAGACGTCGTCTTTCCCGTTGCTCACCAACACCGGTCCGGTGATATCGCTGAGTCGATCATATAGCTGTGGGTCCGAGGCGAAATTCGTTATGGCTGTCAACTGTGCTCCGACCCCAGCTCCAACAAGGAACTCTTTTCTCCCTTCGCCTTTGACCTGGCGTTCAAAGATCCTATGCCACCATTGGTGGCCGGCAGCTCTGCTGGTCTCTGACGGAAAGAAGAAGATTCCAAGCATGTAGTCTTCGGTGGGTTGGTCGTCAGGTCCTCCACCTGGACCGGAAGCAGCGTCTGGTGCAGTCTGGATGACGCCTGGCCCGTAACCAGGGCGAATGCCCCCCAGAACCAGCTTGTTCAGCACCTGGGGATACGCCATGGCGATGTATTGTGCGACCATCCCTCCCATAGAGAAGCCAAGAATATCAGCCTTGGGAACTTTGATCGCAGCGAGGAAATCCACAGTTGTTGCAGCCATGGCCTGGATAGAGTCAGGAACGGTGCCTTTGCTATGGCCAATACCGGAGTTGTCGAACAGTATCACCTCCCGGTTATGTGCGATGGCATTGACGAGTAAAGGATCGAGGACGTCCATGCTGCCGCGGAAGTGGGTTATGAAGAGGAGAGGGATTTTGCTGGGACGCCCAAAGTGCCGATAGGCAAGTTGAGTGCCATTAACGGAGATGAACTTGGTAGGGGCGACTTGAGCTAGCTGCCGTGGCTCCTGGTCACACCCGGCACTTGGGGCGGTGGCAGGAGATTGGTGCCGCTCTGAAAGACTGCTAAGAAAAGGTCAGCACATTTGGGAATCCTCATGAGATATTTGTTTGACGTACCCTGGGGTCACCATAGCTGTAGCTACCACGGCAAAAAGAAACGCCGCGAATAGTTTCATTTTATTCGTCGAACGGGGCTGTGCTGGTCGTTATACGTTCTGCTTTTCTGACTGGACCGTTTGATATTGGCGAGAAGATTATGTCTTATACTAGGGAGATCGCGGGTCATTATATAGTCGTTCACGGCTCTCTTAAAGCATAACCGCATCGATTTAACAATTTAACACCGGCTGACGGACATAGGTCAGTGCTCATTACATTTCCAATGGCGGGCCAATCATGGCCGGAATAGGAGGAACTTACTTGAGCCCTCTCTGCGGGAAGGCAGATGTCGTGTGGGCCACCGAACATGTATATTAATGCCCTATCCCATATTTGGACTGACCGACGCTAGTCTGATGGCTCGTACGCCAAGCAGAAGGGCCATATCCCTGTCTTTAGTCATCTGGTATATTCCCAAGTCAATTCTAAGCTTCAACCAGTCCTCGTTTTGAAATTTGCCTCCGCAGGGATGTCGCGTATACCAATTTGGCCCGTCTCGATGGTGTGGAGTCTCATCAGTAATGCGGATGAACAGAAAGTGCTGGGGGCGTGGGGCGGTTCGGTGTCCTCAGGATGACTGACAAAGCAATTAAGGTGAATCGGCAACGTTCACTAATCATGGCATAGCCTCGGTCTGATAACCGGGAAACGTGACAATGGAAGTCATCGGTCAAGGCCTCGGAACAAAATGCCATTACATATAGGAGTCAAATGCAAATAACACATACAGTCCTCTAAGGGTGTCCGTCGTCCGTCGGCCGAGGCGGAACAAACAGTCGCCCATCCGTCTTGCTAAACACCTCCCTGTGCTGTCGGCGTTGATTAGAAGAGACGTCTGCTATTCCTAACTTAATTAACTCACTCGTATATTCGTCGCCGATACCTAGGTCGAAATCTCCCGCCATGCCATTTACAACGAGGCCACTTACGACGAAAGCATTTCGAGGTATACATACTAGCTCTTGCTTATCTCTCCGGTCGCTAACAAAATCTCCATATAGCCAAACCCTCTACCGCCCTCTTCCACCATGGCCGAGTAACTATTGCATATATCTTAAGTGCTTTTGTGATGGTCGTGGGTATATTCTAAGAGATAAACCAGTCATATTAGATTTATATTAATATTAGATTATATTATATAACCTTAAAGGGTAATATAATATTACATCTAGTAATATATTTAAAAGGTATTAAATATAACTAAGTTATATTAATAGCTAAGGTAACTACTATATAAGAATATATAATAAATATATTTTATATATTTATAATTATTCTTTAGATTAATATTCTCTAGGTTTAATCTAGGGTAAGATTAATATTTCTAATAATTAGTCTTTAGATTAATACAGGTAATATTTAGTCTCTTTAGTCCCTTACTTAATTAGAGTATTTCTATTATAGTTCCCTGCCTAGCTTATATTATAGCTATAATATAAGGTTCTCCCTCTATTAATCTTATCTCTAAGACTAATTTTAGTAATTAAATATTATTAATAAGTAACTTTAATTTATAAAAATCTCTTTTTATTAATATAATATTAGGCTAAATTTCTAAGTATATTTTTTTATAAAAACTTTCTAAAATATAAGGCTTTTTTATTTATATTAAGGCTTTTAGTTTTAAAATTATATCTTATATTTATTATTTCTATTAAGGCTTATCTTATAAAATAATTTCTAATTATTTTAATTATTATTCTAATTATATTAATATAAAAGTAATATATAATAGAGCTAATATAGCTTCTTTCTATAGGTATATATTAATATTTCTTTATAGCTATTAATTAATCTTTTATAATTATAAAAAATATCTAGGAATATAAGTATTTAAAAGATAAAGAGGCTAAGATAAAGGCTACCTTAGAGGAAATAATAGCTAAGCTTACTTATATTTAAAAATAAAAGAAATTACTTAAAATATATAATAATAAGGCCTTTAAGCATAGCCTATATACCTTAGAGGAGTTAAGCAAGCTTTACGAGAAGTTATCTATTATTATAAAGGTATATTCTTTTAGGGCTATTAATTTAATTAATTAGAATACTATTAGTCTTAATAAGCCTATATTTAATATTATTAATAGAAATTCTTTAAAAGGTATTATATATTAATAAGGTATTCTAGGGGTTCTTATATATTTTTTAAGTTAAGGTAATCTTTTTATTTAATAAAATATATTATCTTATTATTAATTTTATTTATATTAAGGATAACCTTTATAATATATTCTTTTAATTTATTAACTTTTATATTAGGCTTATTATTTATTTTTACCTAGATAATATCTTATATTAATTTAAATAGCGAAATATAAAAGATTAAATAAAGCTTAACCTTAGGTAATAAGTTTAATTTATAGTTATATTTTAAGATTTTCTTTTTAATTTTATATAATTTAATATATTTATAATTAAGTTTTTTATTTTATTATTTTATTTTAATATTTTTTATTATAAGGTAAATTATATCTCTCTCTAAAAAGGTTAATTTTTTAATCTTTTTCTTATTAATATAATTTATTATTTTATTCTTAATAAATTTAAGTTTTATTTATATTTCTTTATATAGATTATATAATTAATTACTAATAAGGATTATTTTAGGGTTAATAATAATATCTTATAATTATTAATAAGTATCTAATATAAATCTAAAGTTTATATATATTAATATAGTTTTTATATTTTTATTTATAGCTATATTATAGGCTAGCTAAGTAATTAGTAGTTTCTTAACTTAGTTAGTTTATTTATAGTTAATATAATATTAAAGGTATTATTTTAGTATTTAGTTTATATATTTTATTTATTTATTTATCTTCTTATAATATATTATAGAGAGCTTATAATTAATTCTTAAGTATCCTATAAGGCTTTATTAAAATTTTAAGGTAAATAATAATCCTTAATTAATAATAATTTTAAGTAATATATTATATATCTTTATAATATAAAAATAAAAGAAATAAATAAATTCTTTAGCTATTATTAATTCTCTATAAGGTATAAAATAAGAAAATTTTATAAGTCTATTTATAATAATAAGAATATTATTATAGAAATTTCTAATAGCTAGTTTTTCTAATAGGGGTAATTTTATAATAAAGTCTA